AGAGAGAGAGAGAGAGAGAGAGAGAGAGAGAGAGAGAGAGAAAGATGGCTTCCACATCTGTGGGGCTGCATGGTGCTTTTAAAAGAAAGCTTAATTTGGCTTGACAGGGAAAAACGTCTTTGTGTGTGTGTGTGTGTGTGTGTGCGCATGTGTGTGTAGGTGTGTGTGTATGCATGTGTGTGTGTGTGTGAGGGGAAAATATGTAGAAACGGCCCAACCACAGACTTCCTCTGAGAGAGAACCATGTCAACCCCCACATCCATTTACTAACGCACACACACACACGTTCATACACTGCTGCACACTGTGAATAAGAAAAGGAAGCAGCATGAAATGCGCTGGAAATTCAGACTCTAAACCAAGTCCAAGTTTAGTAAAGCAGCTCTTTACTTTAGGTCTACCTTGTGGGAAAACTTGTGTTGTACTGATTTGTATTTATCTGCCTGCGATACAACTGATGAGCAGGCTACAATGCAGTGGTCGTCATTCTGTTAAGAGGTTAAAAACATCTGGACTTGAATATAAACTACTCCACTACATTTATTATGACAGTTATAGCTAATAGTTACTTTGCAGATTAAGATTTTAAACATTTGGAAATACATGTGTACATAAAAACATATGGTAATCTTATAAAATATTATGATGCATTGGCAAACTAACTCATTAAAATAATATGTGGAGTTTGCGTGTAAACAAACAAAAGTCATGTTCAGCTTCAGTGCTGCTCACTAAAACACATGGTGTGTTTCACTGAGCTCTAGCAAACATGCTGAATGCATTTCCTTCCACATTTCAAAACCAGCTTTGTTTGCATCACGTACTGAAGCTGTTCAGGGGGCTCAAGGTGACACTTTAAGATACTTAATGTTGTTTTTTCCTGTTATATTATTACAATTCTGAATGCAATCCAGTACTAGCCTTGAATATTTAGATTACATTTGTGTGGACAGTTCTCTGCATCACAGAGATGGGATGAGCATATTGCAAAATGTCATGACTTCAATTCATCTCATCTGAAGTACTTATTGTTTAAGGTAAGTCACCCCCTTGGGATCAAAGTCATTACATTACAGTCATTTAGCAGACACTTTTATCCAAAGCGACTTACAATTCAGAGTCTATCACATTTCTACACCGTAGGCACAGCTACGGAAGCAATTTAGGGGTTAAGTGTCTTGCTCAAGGACACATCGACATGCGACTAACAGAGCCAGAGCTCGAACCGCCGACCCTCTGCTTGAAAGACGGCCCTGCTATCCACTTAGCCACAATTGCCCCATTGTCCTTTGAAAGGATGAAGTTGAGGGTGAAGTTCCAAATGCAAAACAGTATTTCATGTTTCTAAAAAGATATTTTTGCAGTTGCAAAGAATTTACTTGACAACAGCAACCAGCTGCAGCCTTGTGATTCACTGTGTATCATGTTTGAGGTCGTTCACTGGTGAATGTCTGCATTTCTGTGAATCCTGAGCACAACTTTCTCATTTTCTTACATTTAAAACCAACACAACTGCTGAGCCTGAACACCTGAACACACTGATACAGCCAGCCTTCAGACGGCGAGCATGGGTGTGTGTGTGTGTTGTCAGACAGTGTGTGACGCAGATGTAGAGGGATGTGTTGGCATAGTGCCTCTCATTCAGCCTGGTGCCAACCATCTAGTCAGCACAACACGCTACACACACACGCACACACACACACACACACAGACCAGTGCCCACGAGGTGTGTGATCACAATAGACACCTCTGTTTTCAGCCTTGTGAGTTGTGCAGTCTCTCTCTCCCACGCACATGCATGCAAACACACACACACACACACAC